ATAAAAGTTGTTTTGACAAGCGAAGTGTTTGTAGGCTTTGAATTATGTGGGAATAAGTCGAAATTAGACGAAGAAAATTTAAAAAAGAACACACCCTACACAAAGTATAGTCTTCATACTATCCTATATCCCTTAAGTCTCCTTAAGTCTCCACGTTTGAGTGAAATACGGCCATTACAATTTCCACTAAAATTCGCCATGTGTTTCGCTTCGTCTTGTCTTATGTCCTTGATTTGACGTGACCTGCTAGATTACCAAAAATGGTATTTTTGACTATCTTATACAATTCTGATAATCTTGATTTTAAAATTCAAATTTATACTTATAATAAAACGACAATGTAAAATATTATATATTTTTTATTTAAGTCAATCGAAGGTAGTTTTATTAAAGAGGAAAAAGAGTTAAGCTTACTGTTATTCACAGCACGTGTCACAAGCCCGACAAACAATTCAAGAATTTCCTTAATCTAACAAACTACAAACGAATAAATAGTCAAACCACTAGAAACTAATTTTATTCAACTCAAGAAAGCCAAACCTATAGTATTCAACAGTGCAGATAGTGTAATTTTCTTTAAAAACTCAAATTTACAAAAAACTTAAAAGTTTTGCTGAAACAAAGGCAAGACATAATTCGAAGAAAATCCTCGATCGTAGAAAGTAGATTATATATTTTTCTCAAGGGTAGATAAACAACAACAAACTTAATACATGGCTTTTGTATATTACCTCGAACAACAGCTGATAGATAAAACTTTATTCAGTAGCGATTTTCTTCCAGAAAATCGAGACTGTCATTGTTCAAAACGATGCAAGTCTTCTTTCTTCAATAAAAATGCCTGGGAAGATGGCTGATAACTGTCACAAATTTAAAACACGTAATACCAGCAAATTCAGTCTAATTGGTCCTTTTTGTGGACAATACAATAGAGAAAGAGAAGATCTGAAGTGGAAAAGGGCTCACGATTTCCCTCTTTAATCTCCATAGTCGAGTTCATATATAGTCGATGTTTCTGCATTGACATCAAAGCGAAAATGAGTAGATCACGTGACTTTTCAGTGTGATAATATAGTTGGTCGAGGCGCGCAAAGCATGCTAGTGAAACATCCTCCTTTAGTTATACTGTAGAAGAATGTGATTTTTTTGTTTTGTTTTATGAATGTGAAAAACTGTTTGATTTATGAAATAGATACATGTAATAGAATACATGTACAGGTGTGCTTAGTCACTCACAGGGCTTGACGCAGATGTCAGGGCTTGAAATGACAGCAAGCCAGTCACCGGTCATGATAACTGACCAAATTTGTTTTAGTTTGGTTGTATCTCATTTCTGGTTCAACCTTACTGGTCAAAATTACCAACAATGCAAACATTTCACTGGACAACTTCCAATTCTGGGCAGACATTGTTGAATGTCCGGCTGTTATCTTAAGCCCTGGATGTTGCTCCACTTTCCACACAAACAGCTGTTGAGTACTCCCCTCTATTGCATGTATATCCAGTGATTTTTGCAGCATATTGACCACTTCAGGTGTTTCCCTAGTATTTTCTTCAAGGATGTCTTACAGGCCTGATCAAACTGCAACCACAAAGCAGCAATACAACGCAGACTTAAACTATCATAATACATCATCAGTTTTCTCACACTATTAGAAAATCTGTTCAAAGAGTAACTAAATATATACAACTTCTAAATTCTAATTTTATCTTTGAGCTTTCACCTCGTTTGAACCCTGGCTATGTTGTGATTGTCCCACTCTTTGATACAAAATCATTTGTGATACAACAGCAAAAGTCTAATTTTTCCTTAGATTTTTAGAACTTATTATTTATGTTTTTTCCCTTTAGACTGCTGTACCTGAATTAAGTAAAATTGGAGAATCAATGAGAGCACTAGCACGAAGTGTTCAAGGAAACACTGAAGACATGTTTGGAGAATTACCACGACCAAGATTATTCACAGAACCCAGAATCAATTACAGATAGTTGCCATGGAAACAGAGTTAGCATAGCAATAGTGGTAGATACAGCCTGTATATAGAGTAATATATTAATTTATTGTATGGTTTTGGGAAAGTGTAGATAGGATACGGTGTACTCTAATGATATGGCAGCATGTAATGATGGAAGATAAAAAAAAGATGTGTGCTCACTAAATACACCAATCTGGCTACTATTATGTCAGGTAAAAATATGAAAAAATCTGGCAAAAGAAGAGTAATGACAAATATTGTTAGGCAATCCTACAAAATGTATGCCTATGACTAAAATACAAGGCCATCTTAGACAAAAGGATGTCTTATTGACTACTATGTAGTCTGGTATTGTGTACCATGCAGAGATTGAGCAAAGAGTTGCAATCTATTATTGCATTACTTTATTATTCATACCCTACCATCAAGACTTGTGCGGGTATGAATAATATGTGCAAATGCTATTATATCTATATAGGCTGTATGTTCTTTACTAAATCTGCTAGGCTCCATTGAGAAGGCTAAATGATGGACAAACAAAAAAATTAATAAAAAATTTCAATTTATGGAAAAAAATTTAAAATTACATAATGAAATAAAAAAGGAGTATAATATTTAGTAACTTAGTGTGAATAGAGGTGGACATGGATTAGTTTGAATATTTAAAGTATAACAGTGAAGAAATTGGTCCCAAATATTTACTGTAGTTAACTTGTTGACTAACAGCCACCATGTTTGATATGCTATACAGCCAATGTACCAATCATGACAAGGCCAGAGTTTGGGGTATTCTTTACTGTTACCTATTTAGTTAAGGCGTATCATATAAGCTGTGTGCACAGTGTGTCAAATTCTTTTATTTTATCACCTTTCTCTATACTGCTCATAGAAGTATTCATAACAGGAAGTGTGTCAAAGCATCCTCAGTAATCCCGAAGTAAGATTTTGTCTCTTGCATCCATAAAAAGAAGTATTTTTTTCTGGAAGCGAGAAACAAACAACAGAATCTTACTCCTAGGTTACTGAGGATGGAGTGAAGACAATTAATCTATGAAATAAAAGAATACTAGTCAACCTGTAATTGATGGTTTTCTAGGCAGCCATGTTGGAGGAACTTAACAAAGGAATTGTCAATTTTGTTATATCCTCCAACATGGCCACCGTGCCTTTTGTTATTTAATTCTCTTGGGAATGGTTGAAAAACATCAGTAGTCAAACAAAAGAAAACTGGAATTTAGGGTCTACTAATGTGTAGTGACTTCACTCAACTATGTAATGTACATTAGGGCAACAGGTCATAGATAGTCTAGCAGGTATTTACTTAAGGCTTTTTTCATGTTCACTCTATTGTTTTTCAAATAAAATATATTTTATTTAATATTTCAGCTTATTTTTAGTGGGAATGAAAGAATAATATTAGACTAGCTCCTCCCTCGGCCAAATTGACCATAGCAAAGACCAAGGGAAATATAGGACCTGCTCGCAGTCGAGCCAGGTATTTAACAGAGGCCGGCAGTCTCTCATCAAGAGAAATTTTTGCCGCTAAGAGAGTCAAAAACTTTTAATTAGTGACAGGCATTGAATCTGTGCCTGGCAATCTGTAATCATGCATGAGAGATTTTTCTAAGTGGCATGAAGAGGGTCGTATTCATATTCTGTGCCAAGAAGACAAACATGTCAAATTAAAATTTCTTAAGCTGAGGAGAATTACTTGGAGTTTCTGTACAAAGTGAATATTTTATATCGATTAGAATTAGTTTTAGTTGAGAAATGATAAATCGTCGAAAATTTAAATCGTTGCAATTAACTGTCTGTCTGTCCTTGCTCCGGGTGTATTCAAACGCCATAGGGAGCCCAAAAAGAAATCATAAATAAAAAATCATTCCCAGCAGATGTCTTACGTTAAAATCTCTTTAACCTTTTCTATTGCATTGATTATTAAAGCGAGTACATCTCAATCCGTATACTAAATGATTATTTGAGCAAAGTATTTTTATAAGATTTTGGTCTCGTGCCCATGCCTGACGTTTGAGGGAGGTTGGATCCCAGTTAGATCAACCCTTCGATCCATGTGCTGAACAAAGAACAACCAAGTAAAACCAATCTTTTGCCCCGCTTCTTAGTGGAAAATCAGTGGAGTTTTTCATCACGAGCTTGCTCAATCAATTCTCTGTTCCCTCGACGAGAAATGTTTGGTAATTTCGTGAATAAAAACGCAAGAGCGGCTCTGAAAGAATACGGAGACTTTAACGGTGTTGGAGTAGAATACGAAATGTTGGATCCTACAGGACCTCCTCATAGTCCTCAATACACCGCCCGTGTTATGATCGGAGAAAGCCGTTACGACACTGCTACGGCAGCTACCAAGAAAGATGCTAAAGAATATGCTGCTGATCTTGCACTGAGAGCGTTGACACAAGGTAAAAACTTCTTATAAACGCGCCTTCGCCTTGAATCAAGATGCCATTGTTTATGCACTGTGGTTACAATACCTACATGGAGTTTGATTAGTTATTCATGGCTTTGCTATGGTCTTTAGATACTCATACATCTTTTATTTTGAATAAAAAGTGTATTCTAGAGGCTTGTATTCTGTATTTAGAAGTATTTCGAGGCTTATTTGAAGGAGATTAGGGTTTGAATTTCGCTAACAAGCGTGTTATGATTTTGAAGTGAAAACAATAACAGCAGCAGCTTACAACTAGCTGTCAGCTGGCCTGACACAATCAAAACGAAAGCACTTGTCGTTAGCGATAAAAAGCCACTTTAAGACACATCTATGGTTAAGGTATAATATCTTGTTCTCAAACCAAGGTAACGATACCTGTTTATCCATCGTTGTGGCTGAGTTTTCTCTCATTAGGCTTTCACATTTTGATTGAAAAAAGAAAACGTGTTGACACGAAATACTTCACCAAGACCTTGAGGCTGCGAGAACATATGCCCACAAAGCTTGAATACTTGATAAAACAATTAACAAACACACCAACATACAGTGAAGGCTATATTTTTTCCTATTCACTTTTTCCTATGTACTTTTGGCAAAGATCATTTATTTATTTTCTACCTAAAATGTTAATATTTAATGGAAATTTGATTATATCATTGCGTTATTACATAAATGATAATTTAAAGACTTTTTTTTTTAACTTTGGCAACTGGAGCATGGAATAATAAACATAATGGTAGGGAAAGAAAATAAAATAAAGTTGATTCATTTGATATTAGTCATACCTTGTTTCTGGCCTAATGTTACTGTTCAAAATTATCGACAAGGCAAAGATTTGACCAGTCAAGTCCCACTTCTGGCCAAACAGACTTGTCATTTTTTTCTCTGGCTATACTTACTGCACTACACTACCCTTAAGGCAAAGAAGAACCAAGAAGCAGGCTCTCAATTTGCATGAGATTAGAGATGATGCATTAGAAGGGCTCTACTACACACACTAATATATGAATGATATTTTTTATATTTCAGAACCTGGTGCATACCATTCTGTTTACCCAGGAGCATTAAGCCAAGCAGGACAACCAAGTCTTTCATCTGGCCTCTCTTCCTCCCTCCCTTACAGACGATACCCTAAGCGTTTAAACCGTAAGAAACAGTCCAAAAATAACCAGCTCTCTGCCCCACCAGACAAGGATCCTGTTATGCTTATTAATGAGTATGGACAGAAGATGAACACAACGGTAAAAATATATTTATTTGACACCAAAAAAACTTTTATTCATGTGTGATGCTAAACAGGAATTGAACCTGTTACCCCACAGGTAGCCCAAGCTTGGTTTCTGTGGTGTCCTGTTATAAGGAAATGTATGGAGATTTATCAAAAACTTCAATAAAATCATTGAAACATGAAATAAAGCCTCGAAATTTTACCCGATCATTGAGAAATAGCACTTCTTTCGCTCTGCGTGGTTATTTTTTGAATTTAGCCCGTTTTAAGATTTTTTCCCCCACCAGTAAGAAATAAGAGAAGGTTGGAAACTCGAGTCCCAAAAGCGAACCATCACGGGTCTTTGAAACCTCGTATGTCTTCGAATTTTCTTTCCAGCGCCAAAATTTAGTCATGGCCCTTCTCTCACATCCCTATAGAACCGAGATAGTCGTATTAGAGATTAGTCTTCGCGTCTTAAGCCATGAAATTTGCTTGTTTTCACACACTACCTCGCTTGTTCTGACCCATACTTGGAGCTCACTGTACACCAGTTCAACGGATTTCTTTCGGCAACCGACCCCAGGTCACGCCGGAAGTCTTTGTATCGTAAATGCGGATTGAATTTGGATAAAGTTTTTCTTTAAAATTATGGTGAGTGTATTTTTTAATGGCCTAAGATACAAAAGTATTTAACTTATAATTTCGAAGAAAGACTATATACAAATTCAATCCGCATTTACGATACGAAGACTTCCGGCGTGACCTCGGGTTGGTCGGTTGAAAGAAATCCGTTGAACTGGTGTACAGTGAGCTCCAAGTACGGGTCAGAACAAGCGAGGTAGTGTGTGAAAACAAGCAAATTTCATGGCTTAAAGACGCGAAGACTAATCTCTAATACGACTATCTTGGTTCTATAGGGATGTGAGAGAAGGGCCATGACCAAAATTTGGCGCTGGAAAGAAAATTCGAAGACATACGATGTTTCAAAGACCCGTGATGGTTCGCTTTTGGGACTCGAGTTTCCAACCTTCTCTTATTTCTTACTGGTGGGGGAAAAAATCTTAAAACGGGCTAAATTCAAAAAATAACCACGCAGAGCAAAAGAAGTGCTATTTCTCAATGATCGGGTAAAATTTCGAGGCTTTATTTCATGTTTCAATGATTTTATTGAAATGTTTGATGAATCTCCATACATTTCCTTATAACAGGACACCACAGAAACCAAGCTTGGGCTACCTGTGGTTACCCCAAGACCCCAGAGGCGAGAAGCGCCTGAGAGCTTGGACTACAAACTTTAGCTGAAATGATTATCTCAGAATTATTTTATAAGATTGGCTGCTTGCCAAGTTTAGTATATATAGCTTGAAAAAATATGCTTTATGCTGACTGGAGCTCAGATTCTAACTACTACTGTTTGTTTGTCTGTTTTAGGTAAAGTTTGAAGATACACCGTGTTCTTTTCCTGGGATGTTTGAGTCATTTGTATTTGTTGGTTCACAAAAGTTTGGTCCAATGAGAAGCACTACAAAGAAGATGGCACGTAAACTAGCTGCGATAGTAGGCCTGAAGGAGCTTATTAACTGGGAACCCAAACAAGGTAAGAAAGAAATGTATCTTTTGCATCTTGGTTTGATCTATGAATCAAATTGAGCTGATCCTTGCAGTACAGTATATGAAGCAACTTATGCAGCTGTAAATTGATCTATGAACTAGCCATGCCCTGACTTAGATCAGCCCAGAGGTTGTTTCAGGGTGCAATCTGTGAGTTAGCCATGCCCTGACTTAGATCAGCCCAGAGGTTGTTTCAGGGTTCCATTTGTGAGTTAGCAGTGCCCAGACTTAGATCAGCCCAGTGGTTGATTCAGAGTTTGATTTATGAGTTAGCTGTGTCCTGACTTAGATCAGTCCAGTGGTTGATTCAGAGTTTGATT